AAATTTTGGTATATGTCACTTCAAAACTTTACTTTTAACCTTGACTCGCACCCAGGGCAAAAAATACCTACTTATTTACTGCGTCAATGTCCATTGCTTAAATTGTCTTTTCTGATACATCCGATTTAGTACCGACTGACTTTATTGTACAAGTGAAAACGAATATCAGATAAATTTATCAAAAACGGCATTGAAAGAAGATATTGAATCAATTCGAAAAGGTGAATTGGGATAATCGTCGGATTGTTAAAAGACCGAATTAAAGCAAGCAGTGAACTCGAGAGTAAAAGACAACGTGTAGCTTTGCAATAGATGCGATATCATATTTACTATGTAAACCATTTTATCATGTATCTGACGTCTGTGCACCTATATATTTTATTGTAACAATAAAGCGGATATACATATATTTTTCAAACCATTACACAAATTTGGTCACGGTTGATTTACGTATGTGTCTAAAATTTTATACTTTATTAATATTGATTACAAGGTTGTCAGAAGTTAAATTACGATAATTCGGCTTTATTTTTTTTTTTGAACTTTTTCTTTGAACTACTTTTTTTCCTTTTTTTCTTCGGAGTGTTTTCGCAATCGGCAAAAAAACGAATTGGCACGGGTGGTGGAGTAGAGCATTGTTCATTGTCATCTTTAAGCAATTCATCCAACAAGTCACCAGATTCAGTGTCAGTATCGTCATTTAGAATATTCAGAATTTGTAGGTTGTTCTTAATAATGATCTGTGAAAATAATTAGAACACAGAAGAAAAAATAATGATAACGAGATTTTTCATACCTTATATTGGTATATCTTTTTTAAAAATTTAATGAAGAAACTTAATCCATTTTTCGAGAACTTGCTATCTACATAGAAAGATTGGGGATCTTTAAGAAAAATACATATCGATCCACCAGCGCGCCATAATCTCGCGAACTGAATATATAACCCAAGGTGTAAGATGCCAAATACTTGAAGTTTATCTGCTTTTTGATCGTCGTAATTCACAGCCTTGATTAAATCAGCATACATATCCCGAAGTGTTTTGGGCATCTTGAATGATTCGAGAAGATATTTGTTATCTGAAACTCCCGCAAAAGCTCTTGCACCTTCAATAGCACCGATTTCAACAAGTCTATTAGTTACATATATTATCCCATCAACTTTGCGACCAATGAGCTTTCTTGCGTTTGCTTTCCGACGCCGATTCTTTCTGTTGGCACTACTCAATGATGGTACATCAGTCCTAAAGAAGTGATAAATAAGTGAAATGATGGTAATTAATTGTTTACATTAGTGGAGATGGATAAACGAAATTTGAATCATTCAAATTTCGCGATGGATAAAACCTCTTAATGTCAGTTCCCAATTGCGCGTCCCTGACGCAGAAATCGATACATGTTCCAAAAAGTGCGACCGTGAACCAATCTTCATATTGGGTTCTTACTAAGGGAGTATCTATATTTTCGAATAGATTACAAAGTGTTCGCATGGTCATTTGAATCCATTCTCGATTATAATGCTTCTGAACATCATATTCTTCTTCATCCTTAAGATATGATTTCATCACTTTGGTACGTAGCTCTTTTAAAGTTTTACTTCCGTACTTCGCTAACTCTTCTGCAATGTCACGTGGAACAGAAGGAACCCCAATTCGATCTTTAGTTAGTTCGTTCCACTCCGTATCGGTGAATAACACTCTGACATCCTCGTCATCAAAGTCCACAATATAGGAATGGGCATGGCTAATCATTGTTAGTATTGTGAATGGTAATAAACAAGGTATAAAGAATTTAAATTTCGAGAAACCTACTGTTCATAGTCCATGTCTTTAGCAAATTCAAAAAGAATGTCTTCCACTATTCTGCCTGTGCTCAACTGCAACTTTGAAGAGTTTGGGATAGCATAATGGACCTTACAAAAAGCAGTCTTGTCAATTTTGGGGGGTTCCTTTTCATTTACATTGTCCTCAGATGCATCGGTATCAGAAGCCGAAGTTGATTCGTCAGTGTCGCTTGTATTACAAAGGAAATAAAATTATAATCTAAGAATTGAAGAATATCATTCAAAGGATAATCATAAATACCTTGGCATATAATTCGAACCATTATCATTAGATGCAGAAGGGGAGTTCTGCAATTCAGATTCAACCTAGAAAGGAATCACATCAATTAGAAATTGGTCATGAATATTAACAACTCACTTATTGCCGTTAAATGTTTTTTTGGAGTCATCACTTAATTCCCGAAGTTTCTCGACAAATTTTGTTACCTTTACGCCAGTAGAATCTGTGAAGAAGGCGTTGATCTTGTCCACTGGATCCTGTAAAATACAAAACAGTATCATGAACATGACACAAAAATATAGCAGTAACGTTTAATATCTTTACTGATAAAAATACATACCTGTGCCTTTTTCTGATCCTTGTCTGATGACCCGGAAGCGAAGGTTTCAGAGTTTATAATTCCGCTAACAGTCCCACCTCCTATAAATGTCGGGTGGTGGACGTGAACTGAAGGCTCAACTGATTTACACTTATGAGAACGCTCCTTATCCCAATTTCTTGCCAGTTTGCGATCTGGTCGAGTACCCTGAATGAAAAATTTTCAGAAATAGTAATGTTCTCGATTAACGCGTCCATCTATTTTTCCACCCTGCTAGGTCGGTCGAAGCCTTGAACGTAAGATTCCTCGTAGGGAATATACGCCTCAGCAGGGCCAGTGTTAGATCGGTCGAAGCCTTGAACGTAAGACGACTCGTAGGTCGTATACGCTCCAACACTGGCTTCGTGGTTCGGTCGAAGCCTTGAATGTCAGAGGATTCGTAGATCCTAGACACACCACTTATTTTCTATCTGCATTTCTAAAAAGAAGCTATTATACTCGCCTCTTTATATCTATCAAGCAGTTCCTTTGCTCTTTCGCGCCTGTGATCTGTCTCACAACTAGCTATAGTCTCGAGAGATCTAATACAACATGCTATCTTCTGTCCGAATGGTTCCAAATTACACTTATCCAAAAAATCACGAATATCCCATTGGGAATACGCGGTATCGAAATACTCATGTATTTTATTTGACATAGCGATAGTCTTTCACGCAAATAGGACGTATTTTTTCCGAATTTATTACAAGAAATCATGTGAGCGGACACGTTCATGTGACTAGAAGTTGGAAAATGCAGATCAATTATAACAATGAAGACTTTCGGGTCATGACTCCGATATTCTGATTACCTGGGGTTATTAAAAGACAGGATAAAAACAAATAAAGCAAGAGACGTCGTGTGCAGAAAAATAGATATTTTTATTCGTGATTGTATTTTCTCCGATTTTGCCCTGTACTTTATTTTTTTAACATATTAATAAAATTGGCCCTGGTGGCTGATTTCGCATACATAATCAGTTTACTTTTGCATATGTATTTCGTGAATTTATTTTATTGTATTGTTATTGATGTATATATGATCGAGAATTTTTTTACGCAGTCATGTGTT